GGGCGGCCATCTGCCGTGACCAGTACTTACATGTAAAGCCAGGATTGTTGCTAGACACAGTGCTAGATGAGCGCAGCTCCCCATTATTCAAATCCCAGTTATTTCTTTACTTATTTTGTAATGCAAAAAAGTCAGTTAAATTTATTTAAACATTAAATTATGCCATCTACTTTTCAGCAGCTGCCTTCCTGAGAGACTGACTAGTCACTTCAATGATAGTATACCTCAATTCTGATGGTTTTTGTTTGTATTATTGCATGTTCTTGTTGCCTATTTTGCTGCTTCTTTAAAGAAAAAGTCAACTCTTTTTTTTCCATTTACCATCAATCTAAACGAATCCACCGCAAAAGGTAGAGCCTCTTAAAAAAAAATTAAAAAGTGAGATTTTACTGGACCCCAGAAGATCAATACTGAGGCAGTAAAAGTGTGACGGCAATGCTGAAAGTCAGGTTTGTCAGGAGAAAGACTACACTGATTTGTGGCACAAATCTGGGAGAGTAGGCAGCTCTTCAGAAAACATGGCAAATCTTTCCAAGTTAAAGCAGTGGAGCCATCAGCTTTATAACAGAAAGTGACAGCTTTAATGGGAATCTCAGTTGTGATTTGAAAACAAACAATGAGTAAAAAAAAATGAATCATTTCAGCCATATTCTCATTTGGATCATGAATCAATGGGTTGTGTGAATTAGCCAAGTCTGGAAATAAATCCAGTGACAGCTCTCATACAGTCATTACAATGCATATGCTGGTGATGGGCACCAATCACAAGGAAGGTGAGATTTACCATAACAATATATAATAAATAAATAAATAAATTGCATTCATCTACCAAACTTCCATTTTCATATTATAGCCCGGGGTAAGGGGTACCACTGATTGTTGCTGTGAAGTAATCAGCCCGATTGCTGTAAGCATACATGCGGTGACATAAATGAGGCCCCAGGTTGTAAATCAATGTATACATGCAGAAAGGCAGTAATCAGGTTGTGCTTTTAGAAGCTATTGCAGTAATAATGACAAGTTTTGCTTCCTGATTTTTACTCATGACTGTGTAGTGACAAAAATGAGTTTTACAATAGATAAAAAGTGGAATCTTCCATAAACGTTTAGAGGCTACTTTTTAAAACAGTTCTCAGCCCTGTTCTGAATGCAATTATTTTCAATGGGAGAATATGTTACTGTTATATGTTTTCTATGAAACAAGCTTTTATTTCTAGTGTAAATCTATCACAAAAACCAAAAACACCTTTATACTTCTATAGCTGTTGCAATCTGAATTGATCCAATAACCTTTGAGACGTATCAGAAAAAAATTAAAGCGTCAGCTCTACTGTGAAGCTGATAAAGGTTTGGGGTATAGAGGTGTGTAAACCCATATGTGGTTATGGTTTGGTACGGTCTTAAAATCAATGTGAACATGATTTGTTGCACCTTTAATGGTCAAAATAATCTTTATGTCTCATAAATGGCTCTTTATGGCTGTACTGGAGTGCTCTCAACCTTTCCTTCAGCTCTGTGAGGGAAATCTCTAGCTAACCAGGCTGTCACGTCAAATCTGTCAGCTGAGACGGGCCACCTGTGGACTGAAGGCGCATAAGTCTGACTGGGTCTGACTGGATTAGTGGTAATGGCGGCCTAATCGAGTGCTGATGGAGATGGAAAAGGGGGAGAAAAAACAAGGGACTTTGAGTTTGTGGGCCTTTTAATGAAGTGGGGTGTGAAATAAATCCCAGACTGAGTGCAGAAGGTGTGAGCGAGAGAAATCATCAAAGGACTGATTGCTCTGTAAGCTAGAATGATTAATCAGTTTTGAGTGTGCTCAGTGTGTGATTGATGGCCTGGTGCAGTGTGGGTAATGTAGTAGCAGATGCTGACAAGAAGAGTAATGGCTGTTGAATTAGAAAAGAGATTAGGAGAAGAGGAACGGAAAGATGAAGTCATTGGGTTTAGAAATATGTATGAAGCAATGGTGAGAACAGGGGCAGCCACACACACAGTGAAGCGTTCACCACTGATCCCATTAGTAAGAGTACAACTTGGAGAAGGTTGCCAAGTGACACTTCAGAAATGATGATGGAGTCTAAGGGAAAGGACAGACATCCAGAGGCTGAGTCGCTGGAAAGAAATGTTTTGTCTTTTTGGCTGAAATGACGCTCGCCCCTGTAACCTTTTCCCCTGCTTCACATCACTCTCTCTTGTTTTTCATTCTTTCTTGGTACACATCTGCCTCACAGATAATGGACCTTTTGGGCTTCAGCTCTCTATCTGAGCCCTTTGGGGCTCAACCTTTTCACCAGCGCCGCAACAAAGTGCAATCTGAAATTTTCCTGAAATACCCAGAGAGCAAGGCTGTTATATAAAGGTCCCACAGAAACATTTCCTTATTTATGATTCTAAATTATTCAAATGAGAGCTGATTTTCAAAATGCTGCAAGCCTCATTTTGCTAAAAATCAATGATCTGTCTCATTTAATATGCAAATGACATTTCAGGCATTCTGCAGTCTGCAGTTTAGTCAGAGTGAATTACAATAAGGCTCACAAATGTGTCCAACAGCACTTATTGAGAGAATTGAATGAAGAGTATCCTGTAATTTCTATTAAGGGGCGGATAAGAAATAATCCAGAAGAACCTTTTAAGTTTATTGTGCAAGTTTGGATTTCTAACCTTTTATTTTGGGGAAATGGGAAAAGAAAATCCAACCTGGCTCTGTTAACGGACTAGAGAGAAACCTAAAGAGAGAAAGTAGAGGCAAACAAGTTCATGTGTTTGATTAGGATAGAAGTTAAATTTTGTGAATGGAAATAAGAACTCCCCTATTCCTTAGACCTAAACTAGTTGTCTGTTAAATAAGTTAAAAATGTTACAATGACAAAAGTTTAATGTTTGCAAATACCCTTAAGACACTTGAGCCTTGAGCCATCTTTAGCAATAGCGACTTGAACTTATCTCTCACATCATTGTGAAGGTATTTTGGTCCACTCTTCTTTACAGCATTGTTTCAGTTCATTGAGGTTTGTGGGCATTCATTTATGCACAGTTCCCGTGACAGCATCTCAATGAAGTTGAGGTCATAAGTTTAACTTTGCCATTGCAATTCGTGCTGTGCTTGGGATCTCTGTCCTGCTGCATGACCCAAATTTGGCCGAGCTTTGGCTTTTAAACAGATGGCCTCACATTTGACACTAGAATACTTTGGTATATAGTGGACTTCAAACAAGCCTGTGTCCTCCTCTATTAACCTTCGTTATTTTGCTAAATAGTTTTAATATGTTCATATTTGTTTTTACTATATATGGTGCTGGGCATTATGGCCAAACATTATGGACATTACTCCAAAATTAGTAGGTAGTTTGTTTAAATCCAACTTTTCAAACGTAAGCCGTGCTGTCTTCAGCTTTTACTCCTCTCTTCTGTGGAACCAGCTCCCAGTTTGAATTCTATTTTTAAGATTAGGCTTAAAACATTTCCTTTTGATAAAGCTTATGGTCAGGGCTGGGTCAGGTGACTAAACCCAATAGATCTTGGCTGCTGGGGCTGCCCATAATGCTGTCTTTACACACTTTTGCAGTTTCTCAGAGCATTGTCTAACCTTGGGGTGACTTTGCTGATATGTTCACTCCTGGGAAGATTGTGGCATTATGTTAACACACACCTGCTGACTATGGTTGCTGCTTGCGCTCTTAATTCCTGTGAAAGCAGTTAAGATGTATCTTGTTCTTTTTCACACAACTTTTTTGTCTTTGTTATGAAGTTTTGCTGATTTCGTTTCTCACACTTGAAGCCTCAGCTGGGTTAGGGGTAAACCCTTGCACAAGGTGCATCTTAAAAACCTTGCCTATCAAGATAATCATTTACTTCGCTGCTATTTTTACCCTGCAAATAATTGGATTTTGATTTATTTATTAATTTAATTTGTATTTCAAACAGAAAAACTAACAATTAAAAATTTCCAGGTTAATTCTGCCTTTTTTTTTTACCTTTAATGTATGAACTCTGTCCTCTTTTTCTTAGTGACTCCTTTCCTCTTTTACGCATAAATATTTTCACGCCATGTGATCATACCCTGAAGCTATTGCACCATCAGAAGATCAGCAGCCTGCTCTCTCAACATTTAATAAGTTGAAATAAAGCTTTTGTATCCCCTTGTATGTTTGTACTTCAAGGTTAGGGTTTGGCTTTGGTTATCCTATCCTATTATTAAAGGATTTTGATCACGTTCATGAGATTCGTCACATTAAGCCTTCAAAGATTAAAGTAAAAACTGCAGTAATGTTACAGCAATTATATGGGAGAAAAGTTGTCTCTTTTGTGTTAAGGAAAAGCTCCAGGAAAGTCTTGTCGATCACATTGAGGACAAAAGCCCAAAGTGACTTTCGGATTTTAAAGAAACGAGGAAACTTCAAACTTTTCCCAACCCTTTATTTTAAGAGAAGACTGGCCTAAACCTTTGATGATAATCCAATTGTGTGAACACGGTTGGACTTGAATGATAGCCTTGAGCTGAACTCGCATTACTGATCTGATGTGGTTATTTTCCTTTGTTGTTTGTAATGAAGCACCTCAGGCCAAGGCAAACAAAAAGAACTTTAGCCCCTTAACAGACCCCTTTTTATCTTAAAAAAAAAAAAAAAATCTGCCCTCTCTTGCTTTTAAAAAGTCACAAAATAAGAATTCCTGGCTGGACTCAATCAGAGGCTTCTTCACTTCCCTTTTCAAAGACCATTCATTAACATGACACATCATCTATGGGTCTCTGGAAGGGTATAATACCAGTTTGGCTGAAGTACATAATTAATGATGTAATTAGTGGTGTTTGTCTTATAATGAATGGAGTGCGGCTGGTAGCTTCCAGTGGAATCATTTGAATAAAACATGTAAAATTATGGTGGTGTAAAGAAAAACAGCTATCAGATTTTTCTTGTTGGTGGCTATTATGATATGTTTAACAAACTACCCTACCATTTCTCTTTCCGTGTTTTTTTTTTTCTCCCTCCCAGGATTCAAAGCGTTCGGCAGAGATCGTCACTTCTCCTTCGCTGGATGTTTTCCTTCCAGAAGACGAGGACAACCCGTATGAGTCTGTGACCACCGCTGTCACACGCAAACCCTCCTCTCTTGATATCAATCAACGACTCAACGCCTGTCCACGCAATGGTAGGATAGCTACACATGTATCTGGCACCTAAAATACTAAAACAGTTCTGTAACTTGCATTTATAAACTTAGGTGTCCTTTTATTTAGGTTATGTAAATATAATACTTACTTGAATATCTAAGACTTTAGACACATTATTAGATACACCTTGCTAGTACCAGGTTGGACCCAAGTTTGCCTTCAGAATTGGCTTCATTCTTCATGGCACATTTTCAAGTACTGGAAACGTTCCTCAGAGATTTTGGTCTGCATTAACATGATGCTACACATCCATGATGTGAACATCCTATTCCACCCCTGGGATCTGGTGACTGTGTGAGTACTGTGTACTCATTATCATGTTCAAGGAACCATTTTGAGATGATTTGAGCTTTGAGAGATGGCAAGATATTCTGCCAGCACACTGTGGTCACAAAGGGGTTTACACAGTCAGCAACAATACTAAAGTAAAAAACGTTCAGTTTGGGCCCAAAATGTGCCAAGAAAATATCCCCCACACTGTTACACCACCACCACCAGCAGCAGCATGAACTTTTGATAAAAGGCATGATGGATCCATGCTTTCCTGTTCTTTACACCAAATTGTGCCCATGCTGAAAATGAGACCCATCAGACCAGGCAGCAGTTTTTCAATGTTCTGTTGCGCAATGTGAATTGAAGGCTCAGTTCAAGGCTTAGCTGGCAGGAGTGGCACCTGGTGTTCAAATATGCTCCTCTGCATTCATTGGTTGTATATAGTGGTTATTTGAGCTAGTGCTTTCTTTCTATCAGTTTGAAGCAGTCTGAACATTCTCTTCTGCACTCTTAACCCTCTCAGGCTCAAATTAAACTTTTTGTTGCTAATGCACAACCAAGTCCTGCAGTGGTACTTCTGAGTAAAAAAAACTCATAGAATATGTATGTGGGGTAATCGGGTTGTTCGTTTTTAACTGTTGCAAATTGGCAACGCCTGGGTCGAGAGGGTTAAAGCGTTACCAAGAGTGCTGTCACTGACTGGATATTTTCTCTTTTTTTAGGCCATTCTCTTTAACTCCTTGAGATGGTTGTGTGGAAAAATCCCAGTAGATGAGCAGTTTGTGAAGTACTCAAACCAGTCTGTCTGTGCCAACAACCATGCTGTGTTTAAAGTCACTTAAAGTCCCCATTCTGATGCTCTGTTTGAACTTGATGTCTTAACCATGTCTGCATGCCTAAATACATTGAGTTGCTGCCATGTGATTGGCTGATTGGATATTTGGGCAAGAAAGTAGCCAGTAAGTGTAGGTTTTATTTAGGGGTGCAACAATACTCGTATTGGTATTGAACCGTTTGATACAGTGCTTTCGGTTCGGTATGCATAATTATCGAACAATACAAAAAATTTTATTTATTTTATCAAATTTTCTTCTGACGATGCTGTCTGTGTTGAGCGCTCAGTGAATCTGCGTTCGCCTACTCCGCGTAGGCTGCACTGTCGAGTGCAGATCCACTGAGCAAGCTAGCAAGACAGAAGCTAAGCTCTTAATTGAACCTCCCCCACCCTCATTCAGATCTGGCGTTTGGAACTATCTTGGTTTTCATGTGAAGCATGACCCTGATGGTAAGCGCGTCATCGACAAAAGTAAAACAGCACGGCAGATGTGCCACGCAATGCTCAATTGGTGGGAATTAATGCGTTAGCGCAGTTAGCTTGTTAACGTGTTGACGCTGTCCAGCCCCACGCACGGGGCGATCCGCGGTAACTCGTTAACGGAGATTTGCTGCGTTATGGCGTTAATGTCATACAGAAAATGTACAGTCTGTCACTGCAGAAAATCTTAGAATGGTCTTAGAATAATTTGACAGTGGAACATATGGTACGTTCAAGTACAAGCCATGATCCATATGAAAATCCCACTGCTGTGAAGATCACGACTTCAGTAGCAGAAACGAGCCAGCTGAAAGCCAAACATATTGCCTATTCAACATGAACACACAGTTTTATGGCAGTAAACAAGTGTGGAGACAGTGGGTGAGAGTGAGAGCAGCAGTGTTTGGGATACATGCATTGTTAAAAATATGGTGGCTTTTGTTGGTCTTCATAAGGCAGCTTAGCTGATTTTTAAAATTGATGACCGAGATTAGATGTTAGTATCAGGGTAATATACAGAGGTCTGAGTTTCTATTTTAATTTTCCACTCCCCAGTAATAATTAGTTCCTAAAACGTACTTTTAATTTGTGTACTTCATTTTCATCCTGTCTTTATCACCTCATAAACATAACCTTAAAATCTTTATAGATCCTGCTGCTGCTGCTTCAGCTTTGTCAACAAAAAGCTTACCAACGATTGGAACTCAATATTTAATTGACATCGTATCAAAAGTTGAAACTTTAATTTAAAATATATTCCCAAGTTAGAATAGAGACCTGTTTATCACTGTGCATGGAGAGCAGATGCTTCTGTTGCCTTGCTTTGTATATAATTTCAACTGCTCAACAGCTTAGGACTGCCATCTTTTCATATTACAGAGGTTTTCATTGCCAGATTAGCACCCAGAGTCTGTTACTGTTACTGTAGTTTAAATCTACAAAAAAACGTGGGTTGGAGCAAATTAATAACTAATTAATATCATATGCAAACAGTTGCTCGTTTATATTCCTAAATATTGAGGTTCCTTTTAGTCTAGGAGCTGGTGGAAATAAATATTTTATCCGTGAGCTAAATAACTGTTTCTGCAAACAACTGAAATAATTAAAATGCATTGACTAGGGTTCATTGATAAATATCTAATGGCATCTTCCACATTCAATACTGACATTAATAGAAAGTGGTCAGCTGCTAGATTTGGGTGTTAAAACGAAATAGTTGATGTAGAATATTGATCGCGTTGCATCTCTCTCTTCCACAATGTATCTTCTATTCTGTCTTCTGCGCCTCACCTCAAACTGCTGATGTCAGATGGCTGCCCCTCTCTGAGCCTGGTTCTGATCGAGTTTTTTTTTCCTATTTAAAACTGAGCTTTTCCTTTCCACTGTCACCAAATGGTTCCTCAAAAGTAGTTGTTTGGTTCTTGGGGTTTTCTCTGTATTATTGTAGGGTCTCTACCTTACAGTATAAAGTGCCTTCTTGTGATTTGGCACTGTGTAAATAAAACTGAATTGAACTGAAAGTGTATTACTGATTGCTAAAAAATCTTCTTCCAGGCATGGGTGTACTTCTTGAGAAGCAGTGCAAATATTGTATTTGCACTTCTCTCTGAGTAACTTCTAACTTCTTTCAGTCTAAAAATGCGTTTATAACTAAAGCAACCATTCAGCGATTTATACCTGATTCGGTGTACCTTTTCACTGTCATCCACACTGTTTTCTAATCTGTTTCTAGCATGAGCTAATCCCTCGGCCTTTGACCTTTCAGTCAGTTCTGTTTGCTCACCGCTTGTTTGGTCTGCGGCGTTGTGCCTCTGCACCCACGACAACAAACACCCCCGGATGCATTCACCCCTTTCACTCGACTACACACTGCTGCAGGTTGTCACGGCAACTGCATCACCGGCTGGTGAGTCACCTGAATGTTGCCATGGGAACTGTCTTGCTAGTGACACCCCCCCTCCCCACCACTCCTGAGCAGAGGAGCAGCGAGAGGCTACTGTAGATCCTTGTTTTCTGTGTTTGTCCCGTGCTCGACTGTTGGATCTTGCTCATCATCGACTGTTTGAGAGTTGAGAGTTGAACTGTCAGCACACACTCTAGATTGTGCACGTGTGCGTGCATGTGATAGGTTAGTTGTTTTATGTCAAAGTGTTTTTGGGTGGAGAATTGCTCCACTGACGTAAAGGAATAGTGTGGGTGTTATATTTGTTCTCATCTCTCTGAGTGCTGTTACCTGGCCAAATGAGAGGGAAAGAGAGCCACACATACAGAGATTGGGAATAAGACTGAGATGTGAGGCAGAGCTGACTACATATCTATGGTATAGGTAAGCATGACAAGAAGGACATATTCACCTATAACATTGAGATAGTTTACATATAACATAGATAACTCCTTCCAGGTATCAGATAATGTGTTAATCCAGATAGACCAAAGGTAAGAAAGACTCTGAGATGGACCATGGACAGGTTATACATTCAGTAGAGGAAGTCAAAGGTTGACTCAGGCTGAGCCATCTCCATGAAAATGACACAGCAGGAGGGAAATTCCTGGATTCCTGCTCTGAGTCCAGTCACATGTCAGCCTAATTGGACATGGGTGTGAGTCAGTCTCTCTTTATCTGCCTCTGAGAGGAAGGATGTGGTGATCAAGGAACATGAGGAGGAAAGGGCTGAGATGAGAGGAAAAGGAAGAGCAGAGTGGGACTTGGTGCAATACACTGCAAAAAATTTGGTTTGTTCTTTGGTGTTATCATATTTAAGTTACTGTGTGGAGGTTTTGGGAATACTTAGAAAAGTTAATTACAACCACTGTATTTATTGCAAAAAAGAGCTTTAACAACAACAATAACCACCAATGCATAAGTTAAGGAACAATGTGTTGTGATTTCTAGAGGGATAGACAGGGGTTAGAGTTAAAGGGCTGCATTAAATTTAAAGATACAGTTTTTTGGACAACCAGAAGTTTTTCTATACCATATGTGGTGTAGGATTGTGGAATAGTTTAACTCTGGAATTAAATCAATGTCCAAACATAACATTATAAAGAAATAATTTCCACAAGGTACAGGGATTTAGAAGGATGCCAGTCACTGGATGAAATATAAGTTCTGTATAGATGGTTTATAAAGGTATTATAAGATAATTATTCATTTTTAAAAAAAAGCCACATCTTATTTTAAATACTGTTTTATTATCAAAAAAGCATTTATTTGCTGATATGTTTTAATAAAATTGTAATGAGCCTATTAATGTTGCCAGCAACATTAACAGGTTAGGCCTGTTTTCTGACCACAGTAACAACGGCAGAAGAGACAATTTTTTAACAGCACTATAAAAAGTTCTGGTTCAAGATTTGTTAAACTGGGGACACGAAATGAACGCTACTGCC